ATATTTAAATTATTTCAAATATACAGATCCCAACTCTTCAAAAAATCTGGGATATTTCACTTTGAGTTATTTTAATGCAGATAATACGATGTAAAGAAAATCAAATTATTATATTTCTTGATAAACGAATGTAACAGTTGTGACGATAAAAATATTGATATTTTAAATTACTATGTAAAAAATATTTTTCAAAAATGTTAAAGAATGGGCTCACATGAGAGTGAAAATTAGTTGGAAAAATAAAGAAAATATTAATAGTAAATAGAATAGAAGAGAATTTTCACTTTGTTCACAGTGGAAGAACTAAAACGAGAAATATTAAATTAATTCTACAGAGAGCGGAAAGAGTTAATAAATAAAATAAAAGAAAAATAATTTACCGTTTGCAATCCTGAAGCAGGTCACTTAAATATCCGGTGAATGTGAGGCGTGCGTGCAAAGAATCGAGACTAGAAAGAAAAATAAAACGTAAAGATTAAAAAAAAAGAAACAATCGACAAAATCGACAGGTACTAACTGAAAATCAATATCCATAGTTCGCTTCTTCTCGATTCCTGAACGATACTTTAAGAATTCTTAACGAGATCTTGATCTCTTTCTAAAGTGAGCATCAACCCCCGAATTTATAGGGTGGTTGCAGAATATCGAACGATATTTAATAACTGAAAAATCTTTTGATAATTTTCACCATCTTGTTCTTTATATCGAACTTTTTAATATCCAATGATGGCGCAAATAATTCGTCGGCCATAATTTCTTTGAAATTCAGTTACAATTGTTGAAAGAAATTAATCAAAGCTTTCTTTACAATTCATTCAAAATATTCTCACAATAATAAAAAACTTTTCACGTTGCAACAGGAATAAATAAATACCACATACTTTCCCCTAAAAATAATTTTCTCTCTTAACAATTTTTCATACCACCAAAAAAAAAAAAAAAAAATAATCAAACATTTCCCTAAAAATACTTCGGTTGGCAAGTCATCGTCTCGAAAAAAATAAACGTAATTTTTTTTAAAAATTAAAAGTCAAATTTCACGGCGTTGTTTAATTCAGATATCGATCTCGTCTATAACAAAAGTTTCTCCATAGAAACACTGTGATCACCGTTGTCGAAGCTGCAAACCACTTTCTCAAGATCGTGTTTCTGTCTTCTGTACACGGTGGTCGAAACTTTCGAAACGATCGATCGTGAAAATTCAATAACAAGTTTCAAACGTTCCCGCGTTCGTGTTCCAATCGTTTTTCCATTTCGAATTTATGCGGATGGGAAAAAGGATAACACGACAATTCGTGAAACTATAATTTCTGAGGGCATAACGACTTCATCCAAAACTATTTCTCGCGGAATTCAATTTGCCAGACATTTGAAATTTATCGTAGCTCGAGTATGTAATTTACATGTTGCAATAGTTGCAGAGAATCGGCTGCTTTTGTTAATGGACGTTGTCGAGAATTAAATTTTCGAAATGAAATTTGATTACTTGGTAATTTAATGTTCCAAGACAATACCCTTTTTTTTTTTCGTATTCAATTTCAATGTGATTGGATCCTATTTATGAAACAAAGTTTGTTAATAAATAAATAAATCGATATTAGTATTTAATAAATTATAAAATAAAAGAATTGCGAAATAATATATAGAAAAATCAATTGTACGAAAGATTTATCTCTGTTATGTATTTTACAATCTTTTCAAAATTTTATTGTACAGTCTCACTTGATCCGATTTATTTATTTAATCTTTTTATATTTTACTCTCCTTTCATTCCCTCGAAAATAACACTCTAAGCAAATTAAGAAACTCTAATTCTATGGCCTTTATGCGGTGGAATAAACTGGAAATGTTAAAGTGTACTCGTATTTAAGAAACAAAACGAGCATCACTTGAAACGGAGAAGGAAGATTCTTAATGAACGGCGATCGTTTTCTGCTTAAATTATCTTTGAAAGATTCGTTTCAATTTATAGTTTTATATATAGTGAAATAACTTCATTTACTTCTTCACCGTTTTAAAATAAAATTTATTTCATTGATCATAAAATGAAAATATAATATTGAACGAAACACTTTGTCTTCGAAGAAATTTTCGTTAAATTATAGAATATTATATATTCTAAGTGAGAAACGATTTAATTAATTCGATTAAATCGAATGTAATTAATTTTTGCGAAACGAAATAATTTCCACCTGTAAAAAAAAAATTTGTAAGAAAAATTATCGTAGAGTATAAATCGATGGAAAGAACTATTTCGCTTCCCTTGAATGTTGTACAAGTTTTATATTCACACTTGCATGCCACATGTGTTCCAATTTTGTCATTACGTTGGCAAGTCGTTGGTGCATGGAACGAAGAGAGAGCGGTAATTAATTATCCCGTCACCATTTCGCATAACAACATTGGAACTTGCTGCACCATTATCAAAAGATAATAAAAATAAGAATGATAGAATAATAGTGAAAAAAACGATGTTGATAAAATTCTTGACAAAATTCTACTCTTTCTCTCTTGTTTGCAAATTAATTTTAAATGTCTCTATTTTTTTTTTTTTTATGTCGAAATA